TAACCCTTAAGTCACATGATAAGGACACATGACTGATAACCCTTAAGTCACATGATAAGGACACATGACTGATAACCCTTAAGTCACATGATAAGGACACATGACTGATAACCCTTAAGTCACATGATAAGGACACATGACTGATAACCCTTAAGTCACATGATAAGGACACATGACTGATAACCCTTAAGTCACATGATAAGGACACATGACTGATAACCCTTTAGTCACATGATAAGGACACATCACTGATAACCCTTAGTCACATGATAAGGACACATGACTGATAACCCTTAAGTCACATGATAAGGACACATGACTGATAACCCTTAAGTCACATGATAAGGACACATGACTGATAACCCTTAAGTCACATGATAAGGACACATCACTGATAACCCTTAAGTCACATGATAAGGACACATCACTGATAACCCTTAAGTCACATGATAAGGACACATGACTGATAACCCTTAGTCACATGATAAGGACACATCACTGATAACCCTTAGTCACATGATAAGGACTCTATTCACAGATAACCCTTTATTAGCATTATGAGAACTCAACATCACAGATAATCCCCTGGTTTTGTGATGATAACCCTACAGCCCTCATGATGAGAACTCAACAACACATAACCCTATACTTTCTCATCCCGTTATGAGGCCACAGCATCACAGATAACCCTCTGGTCTTGTGATACAAGCAAATACATGCATAACATGCAGAAATGTCTGTATGCAGTTAACACTGGGATACAGCGTCATCAAAACGGTACTGAAGTACGCAAGTAACAATGTTATGCGCCATCTGGTTATGGAATTTATTTCAGGTTTATGTTTTGTATTGTAATTATCATTTTATTTGGAATTTCAATCAATGTTGTTTTCATTTATTTTAGTGAAATTTTTTGTGAATTGATTGGCAGGTGGCATCAACTCACAATCATTTCAGGCAGTCAAGATCAGATTTCCACTACTGATGTCAGTTGTCAGAAAAGGGATATGTATATCCAGATTTTGACTCATTAAAAGTTACATTTCTTGTAGTGTGACTGTCAGGTCTTAATATCCAAGTTGTTTTCTTGTGCAAGACTGGGCGAGGTCATCCACAGTGACTCATCAAACTGTTACTTTGTAAAGAATATCCTGTAAAGAATATCCACTTACAGTGCCAAGGATTCTCGTAATATTTACTGTTTGACTTGTAAATATTGTTTCAGAACTCAACATCACAGATCTTGTCAGTCTTGTCTGGAGCAGGTCCTGGTGGCCGTCACCTACAGTGCCAAGGATTCCTTGTAAAATATACTGTTTGACTGTTGTCTCTTGTTTCAGTCCTATCTGGAGCAGGGTCTGGTGGCCGTCACCTACGGTGCCAAGGATTCCTTGTAAAATATACTGTTTGACTGTTGTCTCTTGTTTCAGAACTCAACATCACAGATCTTGTCAGTCCTATCTGGAGCAGAGTCTGGTGGCCGTCACCTACAGTGCCAAGGATTCCTTGTAAAATATACTGTTTGACTGTTGTCTCTTGTTTCAGTCCTATCTGGAGCAGGGTCTGGTGGCCGTCACCTACGGTGCCAAGGATTCCTTGTAAAATATACTGTTTGACTGTTGTCTCTTGTTTCAGAACTCAACATCGCAGATCTTGTCAGTCCTATCTGGAGCAGAGTCTGGTGGCCGTCACCTACAGTGCCAAGGATTCCTTGTAAAATATACTGTTTGACTGTTGTCTCTTGTTTCAGTCCTATCTGGAGCAGGGTCTAGTGGCCGTCACCTACAGTGCCAAGGATTCCTTGTAAAATATACTGTTTGACTGTTGTCTCTTGTTTCAGTCCTATCTGGAGCAGGGTCTGGTGGCCGTCACCTACAGTGCCAAGGATTCCTAGTAAAATATACTGTTTGACTGTTGTCTCTTGTTTCAGAACTCAACATCACAGATCTTGTCAGTCCTATCTGGAGCAGAGTCTGGTGGCCGTCACCTACAGTGCCAAGGATTCCTTGTAAAATATACTGTTTGACTGTTGTCTCTTGTTTCAGTCCTATCTGGAGCAGGGTCTAGTGGCCGTCACCTACAGTGCCAAGGATTCCTTGTAAAATATACTGTTTGACTGTTGTCTCTTGTTTCAGAACTCAACATCACAGATCTTGTCAGTCTTGTCTGGTGCAGGGTCTGGTGGCCGTCACCTACAGTGCCAAGGATTCCTTGTAAAATATACTGTTTGACTGTTGTCTCTTGTTTCAGTCCTATCTGGAGCAGGTTCTGGTGGCTGTCACCTACAGTGCCAAGGATTCCTTGTAAAATATACTGTTTGACTGTTGTCTCTTGTTTCAGAACTCAACATCACAGATCTTGTCAGTCCTATCTGGAGCAGAGTCTGGTGGCCGTCACCTACAGTGCCAAGGATTCCTTGTAAAATATACTGTTTGACTGTTGTCTCTTGTTTCAGTCCTATCTGGAGCAGGGTCTAGTGGCCGTCACCTACAGTGCCAAGGATTCCTTGTAAAATATACTGTTTGACTGTTGTCTCTTGTTTCAGAACTCAACATCACAGATCTTGTCAGTCTTGTCTGGTGCAGGGTCTGGTGGCCGTCACACCTACAGTGCCAAGGATTCCTTGTAAAATATACTGTTTGACTGTTGTCTCTTGTTTCAGTCCTATCTGGAGCAGGTTCTGGTGGCTGTCACCTACAGTGCCAAGGATTCCTTGTAAAATATACTGTTTGACTGTTGTCTCTTGTTTCAGAACTCAACATCACAGATCTTGTCAGTCCTATCTGGAGCAGGGTCTGGTGGCCGTCACCTACTGTGCCAAGGATTCCTTGTAAAATATACTGTTTGACTGTTGTCTCTTGTTTCAGAACTCAACATCACAGATCTTGTCAGTCCTATCTGGAGCAGAGTCTGGTGGCCGTCACCTACAGTGCCAAGGATTCCTTGTAAAATATACTGTTTGCCTGTATCTTGTTTCAGTCCTATCTGGAGCAGGGTCTAGTGGCCGTCACCTACAGTGCCAAGGATTCCTTGTAAAATATACTGTTTGACTGTTGTCTCTTGTTTCAGTCCTATCTGGAGCAGGGTCTGGTGGCCGTCACCTACAGTGCCAAGGATTCCTTGTAAAATATACTGTTTGACTGTTGTCTCTTGTTTCAGTCCTATCTGGAGCAGGGTCTAGTGGCCGTCACCTACAGTGCCAAGGATTCCTTGTAAAATATACTGTTTGACTGTTGTCTCTTGTTTCAGAACTCAACATCACAGATCTTGTCAGTCCTATCTGGTGCAGGGTCTGGTGGCTGTCACCTACAGTGCCAAGGATTCCTTGTAAAATATACTGTTTGACTGTTGTCTCTTGTTTCAGTCCTATCTGGAGCAGGTTCTGGTGGCTGTCACCTACAGTGCCAAGGATTCCTTGTAAAATATACTGTTTGACTGTTGTCTCTTGTTTCAGAACTCAACATCACAGATCTTGTCAGTCCTATCTGGAGCAGAGTCTGGTGGCCGTCACCTACAGTGCCAAGGATTCCTTGTAAAATATACTGTTTGACTGTTGTCTCTTGTTTCAGTCCTATCTGGAGCAGGGTCTAGTGGCCGTCACCTACAGTGCCAAGGATTCCTTGTAAAATATACTGTTTGACTGTTGTCTCTTGTTTCAGAACTCAACATCACAGATCTTGTCAGTCTTGTCTGGTGCAGGGTCTGGTGGCCGTCACCTACAGTGCCAAGGATTCCTTGTAAAATATACTGTTTGACTGTTGTCTCTTGTTTCAGTCCTATCTGGAGCAGGTTCTGGTGGCTGTCACCTACAGTGCCAAGGATTCCTTGTAAAATATACTGTTTGACTGTTGTCTCTTGTTTCAGAACTCAACATCACAGATCTTGTCAGTCCTATCTGGAGCAGGGTCTGGTGGCCGTCACCTACTGTGCCAAGGATTCCTTGTAAAATATACTGTTTGACTGTTGTCTCTTGTTTCAGAACTCAACATCACAGATCTTGTCAGTCCTATCTGGAGCAGAGTCTGGTGGCCGTCACCTACAGTGCCAAGGATTCCTTGTAAAATATACTGTTTGCCTGTATCTTGTTTCAGTCCTATCTGGAGCAGGGTCTAGTGGCCGTCACCTACAGTGCCAAGGATTCCTTGTAAAATATACTGTTTGACTGTTGTCTCTTGTTTCAGTCCTATCTGGAGCAGGGTCTGGTGGCCGTCACCTACAGTGCCAAGGATTCCTTGTAAAATATACTGTTTGACTGTTGTCTCTTGTTTCAGTCCTATCTGGAGCAGGGTCTAGTGGCCGTCACCTACAGTGCCAAGGATTCCTTGTAAAATATACTGTTTGACTGTTGTCTCTTGTTTCAGAACTCAACATCACAGATCTTGTCAGTCCTATCTGGAGCAGAGTCTGGTGGCCGTCACCTACAGTGCCAAGGATTCCTTGTAAAATATACTGTTTGACTGTTGTCTCTTGTTTCAGTCCTATCTGGAGCAGGGTCTAGTGGCGTCACCTACAGTGCCAAGGATTCCTTGTAAAATATACTGTTTGACTGTTGTCTCTTGTTTCAGAACTCAACATCACAGATCTTGTCAGTCTTGTCTGGTGCAGGGTCTGGTGGCCGTCACCTACAGTGCCAAGGATTCCTTGTAAAATATACTGTTTGACTGTTGTCTCTTGTTTCAGTCCTATCTGGAGCAGGTTCTGGTGGCTGTCACCTACAGTGCCAAGGATTCCTTGTAAAATATACTGTTTGACTGTTGTCTCTTGTTTCAGAACTCAACATCACAGATCTTGTCAGTCCTATCTGGAGCAGGGTCTGGTGGCCGTCACCTACTGTGCCAAGGATTCCTTGTAAAATATACTGTTTGACTGTTGTCTCTTGTTTCAGAACTCAACATCACAGATCTTGTCAGTCCTATCTGGAGCAGAGTCTGGTGGCCGTCACCTACAGTGCCAAGGATTCCTTGTAAAATATACTGTTTGACTGTTGTCTCTTGTTTCAGTCCTATCTGGAGCAGGGTCTGGTGGCCGTCACCTACGGTGCCAAGGATTCCCTGGTGGACTTCCTCCATGTGGACAATCTGGTCCAGGCCCACATGCTGGCCGGCCGTGGACTATCTGAGAACAAGGGCCACATAGCTGTGAGTATCACCATCACCAGGTCTTGTCAACTGTAAATGACTAAATAGAAACTTAGTGTTATCTGTGTATATCAAGCAAACATACAACATAAGGAAATCTGGGTTTTGTTGTGATAAAGTTACCTAGCCAGTTTGATAGTATTACTGCATCATACCTAAAGCAGAGATGTGCTGTGTTGATCAGCTCTTCAAGTAGGATTCATCATATTGATGGTTTTGGAATTTCATTTAACATCATCTTCTAAGCTGATCTGATGAATGTCTCAACCATCATAGAGATACCTGGTCAGACTCAGGGGGGAGCACAGTGGTCACATTGTTGTCCCAAGTTTCAGTGTAGAGTTGTCTCCCATGAACATGCCAGGATCCTGGGGTCATGGTTTGATTTCCAGATTTGCCCTGAGTATGATTCCTGTTTAGTCAGTACCATATGTACAATCATATATTTCACAGAAGGGATAACATATAGACCGTTCCCTTTGAGTGAGTGAGTGAGTTTAATTCAATGCATCTTTGGCTAATGTTCGTTTATGTCTCTGTGTGTCAGCTGAATGTGTTAGGACAACCTGATGTGATACAGACCTTAGACCTTCGCCACTTCCGTGAAACGAGCAAAGGGGTGGTGGGGTAGCCTAGTGGTTAAAGCGTTCGCTCGTCACACTGAAGACCTGGGTTTGATTCCCCACATGGGTACAATGTGTGAAGCCCATTTCTGGTGTCCCCCGCCATGATATTGCTGGAATATTGCTAAAAGCGGTGTAAAAAACCAAACTCACTCACTCACTGAAACCATCTGACTTGGGTATGGTGCTAACAGATCAAAGAATCAGGGCAAATCAAGATTCCAACCAAGGGGGGTTTCTGGCAGACATAAGAGGTATTACTCTACAAAGCAAGTTTGTGCCACCAACGTTTCCCCTTGTTACATCAGAATTTAGCAAGAACATGTGTGTTACTTCATAAGGTCCCATCTCACTGGACTAAAGTTTATCATCCTAAACTGGTTTGCAGGGACGTTAACGCTTCTAGAAAATAGATCTACAATGAAATTGCATCACAATGCTTTGCAAATTATTACAACATCATCAGTTACATGACTTGACAATTAAATGACAGACTCCTGTAGCAGGTTATCTCCTGTTTCTACATGGAAGGCACTAGTTTCGCTGTTTACAATCTGAAAAAGTTGGAAGAATAAGTTGCATGATAAATTAAATCTCACCATCACATCTTTTGATTTCATATATATATCAACACTCATCATTATAAACTTCAAACCCATGAAGATCCGTGTTAGAAATGATCTTCAGTAACCCATGCTTACCGTAAGAGGCGACTAACAGGATCGGGTGGTCAGGCTCGCTGACTTTGTTGACACATGTCATCGTATCTCAACTGCGTAGATCGATTCTCGTGCTGTTGATCATTGGATTGTCTGGTCCAGACTCGATTTTTTACAGACCGCTGCCATAAAGCTGGAATATTAAAACTAAACTCACTCACTCAATCAATCACTCTAAACTTCAAACTCCTCAAGCCTCAGATGAAAGACACGTGAAAAGATTCTGTTACATACCATGGTTACACCACAACATTACAACAGTGTTATTTAATAATATTCCACAAGGACAGAACTGTCCAGCCCAACAAGGTTCCTGTGTAATCTAGAATACAAATATCCACCAGAATTCTTCTTTTATATATGTTAAATGAGCTCAAAAAGTGTAAATAGTTTTTTGTCCCTGTAGTAATGCCTAGTGTGCACGTCTGCTGTCACTGACGTGGCTGTCAGACTGTCAACATCGCCTGTCATTGTCAATTTCAGGCCGGCCAAGCTTACTTCATCTGTGATGACAAACCAATCAACAACTTCCAGTTCTTCAGACCCCTGGTAAGTGAACTAATTATCTGAAATTAACGAGTCACCTGTCACTAGTTATTGATTGAATGAAATTTCACCAAACTAACAAATTAGTATGAATGCAGGTTTTTCTTACGGAACGTTTGTGTCGATGTGATATTATTGTGTATCATGTTATCCGATGTTGTAATTTGATGCTGTCAACATCTGACTTGGTCTCCATGACAACAGAGGAATAAGGAATAACACTGCTGATTCTTAGCTGAGTTGGCCAGGGATCGCTGTCACTAGGACCCCAAGGAAGGGCGTATGGTTGGCACAGCAGATAGTGTGTCGTTGAATACAGGCTGTCATATGTTTGAATTTGAATGTCTGTCATCTTGTCCATCACCTTTGATGTAAAGCTATGATGAAAGTTTGCTGAAGCAATGTCGGATTGCACTGTCAAAGCCTGTCTGGTTGTTTGTGTCACAGTGGCAAAAATTCACTATGCAGAGTTGCATCCCTTGGTTGAGCCAGGAACCACTCAGAGTTTAAGACCCAGATTTGTCAGCCTTGCTGACTTTGTCATCGTACTCCAACTGTGTAAACTGGTACTCATGAACGTCAATTACTTACTTCATAGATGCGTGTTACTGTATTTCAAGTGTGTACATCAATGCTTTAGTTGTCACTGGATTGTCTGGTCCAGAGTGGATTATTTACATGCCACTGTAACTGGAATATTGCTGAGTGTTCCTGCTTGTGCTGTTGTTTTATCAGGTGGCTCTGCTTGTCAAAGGGCAGGATGAATAATAAAATGCACAGCTAAGAAGTGATGTTTTATAATTGGAAACAAGTATTTTGATGTGAAAATACAACTTTTGTTGCTTGATATAGACAAAACTGAAACAAATGTTCCAAGACAGGTGTAATGGTGACATGTTTTGCTGACACATTAAGTCTGCTATCATGACACCATCTACAGTTCACACCTGTGACCTGAGGGCTGGCTTTACTAATGTTAAATATACTCATATTGGTATGTACAGTGGATGAATGCAACAAAAGTCTAGTTGCTGCTTGAACCTCGGCCGGCACTGCATCACTCATGGCGGCGCTGATGCTGCTGTTGAGACATCGGCATTACTCCACAGATCACTGCCTGCATCAGCTGAACTTTCCTGCATTTTAGAAAACAGAAACATTTGCAGCTGTGTAAGTTCAAGCTAGTCCATTAGCCCGAGACCACTAAATCGTACTGAGGTCAAGTAGTAATGTGATGATAGTATTCCTCATTGACTGGTAGAAAAGGAGTAAGTGAGTGAGTTTAGTTTTACGCCACACTCAGCAAAATTCCTGCTATATGGCGGCAATCTGTAATTAATCGAGTCTGGACCAGACAATCCAGTGACGAATAGCATGAGCATCGATCTGTGCAATTGGGATATGATGACATGTGTCAACCAAGTCTGCTAGCCTGACCACCCTGATCCCGTTAGTCGCCTCTTACAACAAGCATGGGTAACTGAAGATCAATTCTAACTCGGATCTTCATGGGTGGTAGCATGGGTGGACTATAATTCTGGACCAGTTCTCATTCTTTAATTTTCCATAGAAACTGATCTGAATAAAAAGACAGAAAATATTACCATAGTAAAGGAAGAGCTACACACTGTGAGGAGAGGGGGAAGAGTATCCTTATTCCAAGTCTGCACAGAGAGCTAAGCCAATTGATGCATAGTAATTTTATCCTTTCAAGATAAGTCCCGATAAGTAGACAGTAAGGACGCCAGTCTGTTGTCTGAAAATGTGTTAATTTTATCTGTATATTTTAGAAGTTATCATTTATACTATTAGTCATTACCTTAGAGACTTGTGCAAGTCTATGTGAGGGCCCGCATCACAGCAACACTTTAACCACTAAGCTACAGTACAACCAGAAATTATTGAGAATTTAAAGATTGTTATTTTTTTATTTTTTTCACTCATTACTCACGTATTAAATGTGAATATTAGCAGAACATAACTCCAGATTCAAATACAGGTGAACAGTTAGTATTTTGTCAAGTCAGCATGGGCAGCAATGCAGGCTTCAATGCGGCGGGGCATACTACTGATCAAAGAAGTTAGAAAGTCGTGGTCCATGCTGTCCCATTATCGGACCACCTCTTCTTTCATTTCAGCAATATTTGTCAGATTTTTCTTATTGAAGCGTTCCTTCATAAGTGCCCAAACATTTTCTGTTGGATTTAGGTCAGGGCTATAGCTTGGCCAATCTAATAATGTCATATTTTGGGTCCGAAACCAGGCCTGTGAATGCTTTGAACAATGTTTTGGGTCGTTGTCCTGCTGGAAAATCCAAACATTTCCATAGAACATGTGAGCAGATGGAAGTAAATGTACCTTTAGAATATCTGTGTACCGCTCACTGTTCATATTCCCTTCAAATACACAGAGGGGCGTTGCCCCTAACACACATATGCCATACCACACGTTAAATTTCGGACTGTACTTTGGGCGCTGATACAAAGGTTTTTCAGTTTGTTTGGTTCAGAATTTCAGTGTATTAGGAAACAGCCACACAGAACTTTCATCTGAGAAAATCACATTGTCCCAGTTAAAATTTCTATGCTGTAAGCACCAGTTCAACCTTCGCTCTTTTTGTTCAGGTTTCATGATCGGTGATGGAATTCCTCGACTTTTCTGCCAACCAATTGCATGCAGCTCAGTTCTAATTGTCTCCTTACAGACAGCCAGTCTTAAGTTTTCTAAACTCCTTCGTTTGTTTTTAGAAACAAGAATACCAAGCCACCTCCTGTCACCGACAGTCAATTTTCTCAATGCCATATCCATTTGCAGTATTTTTCAAAACACGATAAACAGTGGACAAAGGGATGCCTGTTCTACTTGAAATCACTTTAGCTGATCTGATGTCCTTGTTATAATACTCTAAAATCAACTACCTCTTCTCTAAATCATCCATACTGAGGATCACTGAAAACAAAGGGGGGATAACTCTTCACAAACTAATGAAAAAGGATTAACGGAGTTGTCTCTCTTGAATGAAACCAAGCACTTGATAGCTGGTCAAGGTTGTTTATACTAGAAATCCAATCAAACATATTCCTAAAATTCTCAATACATGATAATTTCTGGTCATACTATATCTCACACCCTGGGTAGCTGTACAGACATAGCTTTAGGCTCAGCATGGCTCATTGTACAGGGTATGATTCCTAACATGCATGGGTACTCACTGGGAGACCCATTCTTGCTTTCACCCTGATATTGCTTGGATGTTGGTAAAGGTGGCGTGCCAGGTTTCTAGCCTACATACACTGACACAGTGTTCTGTGTGTAGCTGAGAAGAGTCTTTGTCCTGTCACAGAAACCTGGCCTGTGATCATACTCAGATCTTGAGCTGCCATCCTCCATCTTAACAGTGATGGAAATGTTATGAAAGCCACTCGCCTGGCTTGTGTAAGTTTAATACTTGTCACATCCAATAACGCAGGGGATGACATGATCACCCAACAATGTTATTCAAGGATTTACCATGGTGATATACTCAGTGTCTCAACAGTTGCATTCTGAGAAAAAAAAAATCAATATTGTTTTCTGTTCCTGATTTCAAGATGAATTCCTGGACCAGGTATTGATGTTCATTTTTTAATGTGAAAATTAGAGCAAAACAAATGTCCCCCCATCAGTTGCCGGGATAGGTCACGTCTCCTCATTGGAAACACACACACGCTGGAAGGATCTCGCACCATGGCTTGCTACAAGATCAATCATTACAGTTTACTTTAAGTGATTACTCCATCGTATGAGAACTACACTACGATGGCCTGACAACGTGTGAAAGAACTCCATGCCTGCTAAAGTAGGATTACTGGAAGTATACAAGTCGGTTCCAAGGTCCCTGAACCACACCTTATTCCTTCTGCCCAGCCCTTACCATATTGCTATAGTCTGTAGGAAGCAAGGTTTCTCCACAGACTCTAATCTCCGACACCAGTGGAACCCCTTTTTCTATTCAGATGTAGGTGTTTGTTTCTGTCAGAATTATATATTTTCAGATACTGTTTTTGCATTAGTTTATGGTCCAATGGTCCAAACTTGTGTGGTCTACAACCAGATGACAACCATCTGTTTTGGAGATAGACGATTGACACAGAACATTTCAGGCAGACATCTCATGCAGACTGTTTACCATTTTCAGCCATCAGGGTTTCTTTCTGTTATGCAAATTAGTGTGCGATGATATTGTCATTAAAACTGCAACACAACAAATGTATACACTTATTGAAAGTAAATTACAACAGCACAGTCCACTCTTCATGAAATTAGCATACTTCAGTCTGTTTGCATCAAACAAGTGACAGCACTATAAATGATAGCAGTACCACGATACAGCACAAAATAACAACTTTAATACTGAACTCACTGAAGACTCAAGGATGTAGATACCACCATTGAGTCTCACATTTATATCACTATAAAAGAAACAGGTAGGAGTGGTAGGAGATCGTTAAAAAGGTCTCAAAAGCAAAACCAGGACAGGGGTGTGCAATGATATTGTATAACAAATGTATGTTCGAACCTGGGCCGTCGCGATGAGCGAACGCTTTAACCACTAGGCTACCCCACCGAGTTGGGGTCGGGCTTGGGGATAGAGATATTAGCTAAGATTGGATAATCAGTAGAGACATATTAAATACACATGAAAAAGCATAAAAGATATTTGAGATGATCCCTTGTGTCTGTGGGCAGCATGTCCATTTTATGCCAAGTCAGTTCACGGTCTCTCATCATACCTGGCTGAGTGACCTAATTGCCATCTATAGTCTGATCTGTTGTTTTCAGCAGCTGTTCATATTTTTTCTAAGTGTTGCCCGATTTTACGACTAAACATGCTTTTCTGGATATCCTACTACGCATCCCACTGAACGCCCAGTTAGGCCAATGTGGGTTATTTCGACATATGCTATTTGCAAATGTGTAAATTTTAGGGATACAGACTAAAAGCCTAAAAACAGTTTTTTTCT